TACACTATGAAGCAAAAGAGGAAAGAAAAGCTAAGAAAAAAGGAAATATTGCAAAATAGAAAGCACAAAATAAAGTGTTAGAAAGAGTCCAATTATATTTTTGAAATCACAATAGATAAAACAGAAAAAGAAATATGTAATCTTAGATTGGATTTACAAATCCACCTAAAGGTTCTTCAGGGCTGTCTATTAAATATACAAATGAAGAATTAAAAATAAGTGAATTGAGGAAAAACTCTTTTAGGCTAATACTAATCAAAAGAAAATCAGTTACAGCAATATTAATACCAGAAAAAATCCACAAATGATGGAAGGGAGGAGCTGGAAGTTAATTCAGTTGATTCAGGGGTTATTGCCTCAGCATACCCATTCACACAGACCAGGGCTTGGTTCTCTCAAAATCATGTCTTTTCTGCTCTGTAGTCACCATCATTCCCATGCCAGTCTTTCTTAGAATAGATTTTTATCCTTTCGCTTCTGGACATTTGATTTCCCTGTCTTGATCATATGTCCTTCAAGGCGTCTCCAAATTCTTGTGCAAACCTAGCTATGCTATTTTCCAACTTAAAATTGTTCAATGACATGGCATTACCTATGAGGTAAAACTCCAAAAGGTAAGAAGTTTCTATCTGTCTCTTTAGTGCTCTTTAACAATACTTGCAGGTAGCATGCATATTTTATATTGTTTCATTGATCCCGAACTGTCATTCCAGGAATAGGGCATCTTTTTAATACTTTTATTTTTTAATACTGTCTCCTTATACAGCAGATTCCTTTCATATTGTTCATTATATATGTTTCAAAATCTATCTAAGCTTTTACTCATTTTAATGATCCCCTGTTCACCATTATATGACCCCTTCATCTCTGTGTGCATGTATATTTCTACGCATGCATGCGTGCGCATGATCACACATACACAGACACACACAAACACACACACTGGCCTCCTAACAATAGTCTAATTGCCTGTTTATACATCTCTCTTTCAACAGAAAAAAATGTTGAGTCTGTTGAGGGCAGGGTCCATTCCATGTAGGGTATCTGGTGCCAAAAATGTATGCTAACGTGCAGTATACACTTCAAGAGCAGAGTGTGAATTTGGAGATCATCTGGTCCAAATACTTTATTTTATAGATGGACCTAACAGGCTACATAGAGATTACTATTCTTTACTGTATTGGTCTTTGAAAAATCGGAGTCAATATTGGGTTTCTATTACATGTGACAAGTTGCTAAGAAATCTTTTCTCTGGCGTTGGCTGAGCTAAGGTAAATGGTTCATCGTTAACTCACCAAAAATAATATACAGCATGATTTAAGAGTGTTTTAACCTAGAATCATTAGGATTTAATAATTCTTCTAAAATTTAGGTTTCTTGTGGAAAAACACTTTTTTCCAAAAATGAGTTTGTACAGAAGTGAGTTTGTGCAGATTAGGCAGTTTCAGTCTTCCTTGTTAAAGTTTATCTTAGTTCTTGATACTAACAATAATACTATTTTTACAACATAGTGATGCCACCTTTTGCCTTTCCTTCTTTCAAGACCACCTGCACTAAACATGATTGCTAATGATGATTCCTCTGCTCCACTGAGAATTCAGCATCTTTGACTGTCCATGTTTGTTTTCCTGAACTGTCATCTACATTGTGTCCTTACTTTTCAGTTCCCCTTACCATTGGGACATTTCTTCAACGATTAGATCTTTTCTTACTGACCTATCTGTCCACACTCATATTTGTTTCCCGTTCTCACCGGCTGGCTCAGGTACTTCTACCATTATCAGCTGATTCAGCCTGGATACTACCAAGGTTATCCTGATCTAGCAGTAAGCAGGAAATTCTGGACTAAAAACCAAGCATTCTGGCTAAAGAGTGAGGGGTAGCCTACATCACAAATGAAATGCAAGGTTAACTTATAAGGCAATTGTTTGAAATTCAGAATGCTTTTTCTGAAACAAAACAAAACAATGCAGTATTAGGTCCCTAGGTTAGTTCACATCCATCAGAAAGATTATGAAAGATTTAGAGAAGAAAAGAACATGGGCAAATGAAGTAAAATGCCATGACTGAAATATTTCGAGGGGTGGTTTTCCAGGATACTTAAGAGAAAGTTAAGTACAGTAATGCAGAATAGAATAGGTGGTGCCAATTTGAAAAAGATGGAAAGAGGAGGACAGCAAAAGAGGGAGGTGATGAATTTATGCCAGGCGTCTTCGAGATACGGGATTGATTTTAATCCATGGGCTTCAGCCAAGAGGATGTTGTTCATTGTGTTATTGTTGTGATTTCAAGAATAAAATTTCAGACATCTGTATTTACAGTGTGTGATTTTTTTGTAGTTTTAAGCTGCCAACAATGTGAATTCTACTAAAAAATACATATGGTTAAAATTACATGAACAGAAAGTGATCTTTTTCTTTTTGCAGACCTCATGTATTCGATTCTTCATTTTCACTTTCTATTATATTTTTCATTTCCTGACAAATACTTCTGTTTTATTTTATCATTCATGTAGAATTTTATTCAAAACCTTCATTAAATTAATTTTCAATTGCTATATTTGTTCTGATAATTTCTTTGCTATATACCAATTTTTGATATCTGATTTAAATGGATGTAGCATAAGAGGTGTCATGGAACTTTTGAAAATTATTCAATGCAGTCCGTATAAAGCAAGGGAAAATGAAACAACTGAAAATAATATTAATAGTCTGCACTCAAAGATTAGATTAGCCATGAAAGGTTTATATGTACTATAGTGTTTTATTTCCAAATTAAATTCTCCTTTTTGTAATAATGTATCCTAGATTAGCTATATTCATGATGAGTGGATGACATCTGATAATAAGGTACAGTGTTAGTCACAATGACATTAAAAAACAAAATAGACTAAAAATGAGAAATAGCTCAAAACATTTTTAATGCCTTCTAAGTCACTGAATGTTTTTCATGTTGTCCAACAGATATTATACAGTTCTAAGATGTAATAGTTCGATGAGACAGTTTTTCATTTGAAACTGATAGTGTAATGAGAATGTTCTAGCAATTCGCATTTGCATAGTGAACAAAGTATCTTCAACATTTTATAGAGAATAAGATAACTAATATAGCTTATTTTAAATGTCGAAACTACTCAAATTAAGAGAAGCCATAATTGATCTAATCATTACTCATCAAAAAATTTTTCCTTAGTGTGGAGGAAATTGAAATATTTGTGTTCCAAATAGATGTGTTTAATGCTTTGACAATTATATTATGATATAGTATATCTATTAGTTAACATTTAGACTATATATGTATTTTATTTTAAATATTATGCTTACATTTGGACTATATATGTATTTTATTTTAAATATTATGCTTATTTGAAACCTCAAATAAGTGTTTTGCAGAAATATACTTTATATTTTTAAAGAAAATATGTGTTCATATGTACATCTCTCTATATAAAGTTTATATGTGTACTTTATTGAATTCATTGATTGTCAAAGCATATTCATTTTATTTAGGGTATTGACTAAATATGCTTAAGACTTAACACATTTTAAAGCTAAATTTGATTTGTACACCAGATACTAGTTCTGATTTACCCTAGGTTTAAGATCTAGAAAAGACTGGCTCAAATTCACATTTCATGTCCAGTGAGATCCCAGGGCCCTCCTAGATATTTTTGCATATTCCAAATGCACATGCTGGTTATCCCAGCTCCATTTTTCTACACGCACTAGAACTTTATTTTCAGTTTGCCACCTTTCATGGCTTCTTTCTCTCCATTTTGACCTGTACCCAAACTGGACACTCGGTGTCTTTTGCTTTTTCTTTATTTGTGCCAACTCCCTCTCTATTTTTCTGCCCACAATAAATCGCTACAAAGTAACACCAGTGACAGCATTATTCATAATAAACGAAAGGAAGAAACAACCCAAATTCCCATCAATTAGTGAATGAATAAATAAAATAGGACACATCTATACAATAGTAGGATGTTCAACAACATAAAAGAATAAAGTAGTGATGCATGCTACAACATGGTTGTTCCTTGAAAAAAATACATTCTTCCAAATAAAAGAAGCCAGACGCAAAAGACCACTTATATGGAACGTCCAGAATAGGAAAACCTATAGAAGTAGGAATCAGATCAGTGGCTGCCCAGTATCGCTTGTTGTGAGGGAGTTGGGGAAATGGGGGCGATAACTAAGGGGTATGATATGTTTTAAAAGGTATTTTTTTGAGGTGATAAAAGTGTTGTGAATTGATTATGATAATAGTTTCAAACTGTGAATATACTGAAAACCAGTGAATTTCAAACATTAAAAGAATGAATTGCATAGTATGTGAATTATATCTAATAAAACTTTTAAAAACTATCATACACTCTTTGTGTTGGCAGTCACAAGGACAAAGGTTTTTTTCTGGAGAAATGATGGTCCAAGACTCAGACAAAAATGATTTAGAAATGAAAATGCAACATCCCAGTTCTTACCAGGATGCACTCAGTCAGTCCCCAGCTATAGCTATAGACTTTTCTTAGATATCCAAACACTCGTTAATGACCACTAACCTCTTTCTGTGTTTCATTCTTTTTCTCTACCCACCTGCATTTATATAAGGAATACAGAAGTATAAATTATAATTCTCTACTGACTGAAGTATTACAGAAACGTACCCCAACTTTATGTCTTCACCTTTACTGCTTAGGAGGCAGTAGCAACTATAGAAAGTTTTGGTGTTAAAGTTACTGTTTTGATCACTCATTGTTTGATCATAGGAGTATATGCATTTTAGCTTCTGAATAGAATGCGTGAGACTGAACTGCAACTGTCTATTAACTCTAAGATATGTGGGTAGAAGCAGAGGTATCTCTTAAGAGAGGAAGAATGTGAAGACAATTTACAGTTACATGTTATATAAATTTTTGGATTGAAGTGTGTTTGATGGGATTAGAGACCTCCAATTTATACAAACATTTTAATATTTTTTGTACACATTTCTCTCTCTAGCTTTAGATCCAGCTAAAGATCCATGCTTAAAGATGAAATGTAGTCGCCATAAAGTATGCATTGCTCAAGATTCTCAGACTGCAGTCTGCATTAGTCACCGGAGGCTTACACACAGGTAAACATTGTTAAATTAAATCCCACTGATTGAATGGTACTCCTTATACCTCAGAGTATAAATATTTGGTAACGTCTGCTAAGCTTTTATCCAGAGTTTTATTGAAACAGCTTCAGAACCTTGGTTAATACAATTATGGTTCACTTGGGTTAAATATAGTTATCAATTAGAATTCCTATCGATTATGGAATTTAGGCACATATTATTAAGTAAAGAGGATTTTGTGAAGATTGGATTAAAGTGCTACATCCTCATACTTACACTTTTCAAGTTTAAAGAATAAATATAGTTTTGGCACCCTCTTAAGTATTTTTGCTTATGCCCACTCAAACATCTTATTCCCCTCGAGATAATTGGAAACAAAGTTAAAGGGCATGAAATGGATGATCGATGTTCATTCAAAAATATGAAAAGTCACAAAATAGAGACAGGGCCCTGGACTGCTTCAGGGAACCATGCTTTTCGGAAGCCCTCGTGCTGGTGGAATCCTTGTCCGTTTCCTGATGGCTGACACAAAATTCCAAGAGGAGAAGAAAGGGTTTTCAATATCTTTTATACTGATCATCACTGCTTCTGTAAGATAAGCTCTATTTTGAGAAGGATCAGTCAGTCATTCAGAAGTAGCCTGTGTAGTTTGGTGCTGAGTCTTAAGAATTGGAACAGGCCACAACTGAGAGTGAAATCACCGAGTACCTGATGGAGGCCAACAGGTGTATCTGTATCCTTTATTACTTTTAAAGGAATTCTCTGTATGAGAACACTTTTCTGTGATAGTGGACCTAATTCGTGTTGTGCTTTTCATCAGATGAGCATTGGGATTTCTCTGTTTGTATATGTTCAGAGAATAATTGGATTTGGCTTTAGTGTACTTACATCTAAATTCTGTTATTCAAACACCAACAGACAGAACATAAGTAGCATTTCTAGAAAACAGCAAATATTTACATTTCTTTGATGTCCCTTATTAATGTGAAAGCACATATGCATAAAGTCCTTTATTACATGTTGAGTGGATTAGAGGAAATCTTTATTCCATAATGTCAAATCTATCATGGCAGATTTCAAGGACCAAGGCAGGCTAATGTGATCAAGACAGAGGGTTTGGGAATGAGTTCACTTGGAACAAAGAATCATGGAATATCAATAATGTACTTGTAAAAAGTAAGAAAGAGAGAGAAGCAGAGAGAGAGAGAGTGAGCGAGCATGCTACAGTTTGGGCATGTAAAGTGTAAAAGATCTTCTATGGAAATAGCATCTCTATAGAGTCCACATACTTTGGGAAGGCTCAGACAGGTGAAGCAGAGTTATTAATAATATATCCCCCCTCAATCATGACCTCTGTGTTTTTTTTGTAAAGGGATAACAAAACTGGCCAGAATTTTATTTTTCCGTTTATTTCCTTAGGGTTCCTAAAAGCTTCTGAATTTCTCGGAATTCCTATTAATTAATCATCAAAATGTTAGTATGTGAAAGTATGTATGGGGGCACTGAGGAGAGAGTGGGTTTTTACTTGAGAAATCAATATGGGGATGGTGTTGAAATGAATTCCTGTGTGATCCCTCACCCAAGTTACAGACACCTAGTCAGTTGTTTCATATAAAAGCCAAACACTTTTTATTACAAGTTTCAGAGACCCTGGGAAAGATTTTCATCTACCCACACAGTTTCACCTTTGGAAAGGCTCATCTGCCATTTCACCTCTGACCCCCTGAACCCAAGTCAGTGAGCAACCGAAGACCTCACAGTATCATGCCGAGGGCAGGAACTCTCTCCTTTCGACTACTGATGAACACTGAAGCCAGGAGAGGTTAAAGTTCCTGACTTTAGGTCTCAAAGTTAGGAATTTTCAGACCACCGATGCCAGTCCATATTTACTAACACTAGAATCCATTCCTTTTACAACTTTGCTGTCTCATGGCCTCTCTAACTTCTTAGTAGACATAGCTTAACTACAGACAAAAAGAAACTTCTTTAACATGATGAAGACACTCAGAAACCAATAGCTAAAATGTTTCTTAATGTAAACGGGTGAAGCAGTCTGAATAGAGAACCACTGCCAGCTCCGCCTTTGGGGGCTGGGAGGGAGCCTGCTGTGTTTTAAGTAGGTGGACTTCAAAGTTTTTAAGTAGCATTTAGTCCTGTTCTATTTCTAATAGATACTATTTTAAAATTTGGACTCAATATGAACTAAATTCAATAAATAAATAACTAGTTTCCAAAAAATTGCTATTAAAATTAATATTTGATACATTTTATTTGCTTTGAGGATTGTCAGTACATAGTGAATGTTTATACAAAACTGAGGAAAGGAGTTTTGCCAAGTAGTTTGATCCATAAAGGCGGCTAATATAAATAATGTAGATCTTAAATTTGGAGGTTTTGTGAGTATTTTGGGTATGGAGTACAGAAAACAGAAAAACAGAGAAAAATAAAGTTTGGCCATTTACATAGTTTAGATTAGAAATTCCTACATTTTTCATTTAAAGGAGGAGAGGTTCCCCCCACCCCTCCTTGATCTCATAAAAGAGAAAAGAAATAGAACTTGCCCTTTGCTTCTGCAGGGAGAATCCTGTTTTTCAGAGTCTCCCTAAGTCTATCCCCTCACCCTCAACTGTATATCACACCCCTTTTCTCCGTTGCCTTAGAACCCTCGACTTCTCATCTTGTAATAATCACTTCGTGTGTAAAAACTGTGTAACATCAGTCTTCTTCGATTGGTTGGAAGTTTCATGAAGGTAGGATCTATATATTTTATTCACCACCTTATACTCAGAATTCGACATGCTGGCTAGTATATATTTTCTTTGACAAGTGTTATTAAAATAACTATTTGTAAAATGTTTAGAGAAAACAATGAGCTGTTTAATCAGTTGAACTGGTCAATCTAGATAACATAAGTCTAAAAGTTGTTTTCTCTGTGCCTTGTTCTTATTTGTTGAAGATGGTCTGAAAAGAGCATACGAATTTATCAACAAATATTATAAAATAAATTCATCGAATAAATGAACACTTGAATTATTGTCAGAAAAAAAAGGCAGAAGAGGATATGAAAATATGAGGGGAAAAAAAGAGTCCATAACAACTGGTTGAACAAAACTGGTAGATTCTTGGTAGATTGTAATAATAACTGAAATACTCACTAAATATCTCCTTATTTAGTACTTTAAATAACAATACTGTTATGCCCTGCTTAACAGTGAGGCTGTGTTCTGAGAAATGCCTCGTTAGGCTGTTCCATCATTGTGTGAACATCGTGGAGGGCACTTACACAGACCTGAATCGTATAGCCTACCACTGTAATTGTATGTACTCTGCTTTCATAGGTCTTACAGGCACAGTAGGTTTGTTTACATCAGCAGCACCACAAACAGTGCAGTAATTGTAGTGTAAGCCCTGCCGGTTGGCTTTTCTTTTCGTAATGCAAGTGTATGACTTAAGCTTTGAATGCTGAGGATCCACTCCAGAGAAGCACGCATTTCAAAAACAGCATTCAATTCCAGGTAGGCTATCTGGAATAAACACATGGCCAGCTACACAAGTAGATTAAGAGACAGGTCACCTCTGAGGCTCCCCTTGTTTTATATCTTAATTTTGAAAACTAACCATTTGGACTACTTTTTTTTTCTCTTCCCGTGCCTTAACTTCCAGCTCTTAAGTTTTAAATTCACTAATTAGGAGTGAGCCCTAAAGCCCTAGGCCCTCATCTTCTACCCCAATAAAAGCAGAACCCCAGGCCCACTCCCTGAAGGTTATCACTGAAGGGTATGTTTCAACCCTAGTAAGAACTGCAGGGGTTGGTCCAGTTGTAAAGGTTGGTTTCAAAAGGGGAGATGTCTCTGGGAAGCTCACAGGGGCCCGGGTGGGTGCCCCAGGCATTTCTAGCTGATAGCTTTATTATGGGTAGGCTGAGACTGCAAAGATCAGTAACTCCAGGCTAGGACAGTAGGGTGGCTATGATGTCCAACTAGGTGAAGGGAATTTTTCAGCTCCATTATAATCTCATGGGACCACCGTTGCATATGTCGTCCATCATTGACTGAAATGTCACATGCTGCATGACAGGAATTGTCTTCTGAAATCAGAGCAATACCCTGATCAGGGGACTCAGTACGTGTGTTACGTTAGCTCTAATCATTATTACCAATGCAGAGGATTGTGTAAACTATTTAAATATGCCATGTTCCCGGTCATATATTTGGATATTTGTCTCCTAATGGCTTTTTCTGTGAAGAATTGGCCTCAAACTACCATGATACCTGTCGTTTTGTGCTGGCTTTCTGTTACCATTTTCATCACCGGTTAAAACCAAATAGTTTTATGAACAATGAGAAAGAACTGGAACATAATACAATTTCCAAAGTGGTGATGTAACCGGTCATTTAGATGGTTAATATAAAATATAGAATGGCTTTCCAGGCTTTGACCCACTTTTTTATATTGTTACCCTGGGGAAAATTTCTGGAGATACTTTTAGCCGAGGGTTTTTTGTTTTATTGTTTTGTGTATTGTGAACAAGAAGCCTCATGTTTTATGCTCCTTTTGCTGCCTATGCAGCTGCAGATAATTAACACTATTTCTAGATCTGTGTTTCAGGCACCAATCAATGCTGCTGATATTAAAAAAACAAAAACAAAAAACAAAAAACAGGTTCAGAATAATGAGACAGAGTAAGTTGAAGAAGTTGTTATATGACAAAACTAGCCATGTTAATTTCTGCTTCATTTACACCAAAGGTTGGGAAAAAAATCAATAAGGAAATGCTTTTGGCCTCATAAGAAGGCATAAAAAATAATAAAACATTTAAAATACTTCTTACCAAAATAGATATCAAGGGTGCGTCCTAAATCTCCTTTATTTTAAATATGCATTTTTGAATTCATAATTTTAATGACCATATTCAAAGGAAGACTAAAATTTATTTATACAATAAATAAATGAATGACTATGATGTTTATATTTCCATTGCTATCATGTTGAAATATTTGTTATAGAAGATTCAG